CGAGTTAAGTAATGATTCTGTCTTCAGCACCGACTGCCGAACGGTTGCCTTACGCATTACTCACCAACAATACGGAATCGAACTTGTCGTATTACGACACTTTGCCTTTGCTTCGTCCGACAATATTTATTCATATATTTGTTAAATTTATGGGGTTAACCTTGTTTACGAACAAAATGGAATATGATATGAATCGTACGTACACCGGTACACCGGTTCTTGGGATATTCCATAGGAATATACATACATGTATATGTACTACGGAGATATCCTTTCGACAGTAACAGAGTTTATATTTTCGAAAGATTACTTTATTTCCAAACTTTATACAAAATTTCTTTTCTTATTTTTACGAGAAATTATGGCCTCGCAGTTTGACGGAATAAAATCTGGGAGACTAGGGAAATTTTGCAGGAGTACGTTAAAGGGAAGAATCAGTATGGTCTCGAAAAATAGTGTTTGGATGAAGAGCGAAGATAAGAACGGGACGATGCTTTCAGAGATCGCGCGGTACATGTGTATGTATGTACATAATTGTCCAGCCATATGCTCGGTCAAAGCTTGGTTAGCGAAACGTTCGGTGCCCACCGACCAAGTTGAAGCTTCGTCTCGATCGTGCATTATCATCCTGTTAATTAGAATATTTAAATTCCGGGCGTCATGTGCTCGCTCGATGTTCTCGCGTTGGTAGATATTTTGGTAGCGACGCGACGCTACGCGACGCGTCTATTTGAACCGGGATGACCGTCGCGCGAGCACGCGCTTTCACCCACGGAAATTGCGAGGGTAGCGCTGAGAAAACTGTTGGCTAAACATTCGGTGGTTATCACGATCGGACGACGATAATTCATTAACTTAATGCGGTCAGATCAGATACAGTGCATAAGTGTTGCCGGTCGTAGAGAAACGACGCGTGTTTCGATAATTCCAGAACTAGCAGAATGAATTATTTTTTTGTTACACGCGATACACGTGACAACGGGCACGCTCGCGTCGTGCAGGAAATCCGAGGTGACTCAAGAGATCGTTACCGACGATAAACATAGGAAAGAGTAATACGTATTTACGCATAATTAAGAACAAGTCTTGTTCTCGTACGATTGCAATACGATTGGCGATACGATTTTTCCGATTTTTCCGATTTTTCCGATTTTTCCGATTTTTCCGCGTCGAACCAAACGAACGCAACTATTATTTCTGTAGGTATGGTGTATGTACATAGGTGTGGTATTAGAATCTCGTATTGGAATCATCGATGAGGCTCGACAATGATTTGTCATCGGATGGGTAACGATGCAAGCGACAAATCTCTCTCGTCTGGCACATCGATGAGCGCCGATAATATACGATACTTGATAATGATGGCCTACCATCGATTATATCGTATATTAGCACGCACAGCTGCATGTGTCGCGTATCGTCCCGAAACGGGTGTGCAATTTAAATATTCGATCAACGATCAAGATCACGACACGCTATGGTTCTCCGTCGCTTCTAAATTTCATAATTTATCGTATCGTGAACGATGCGTTGCGGCAGCTATTACACTATACATATACATACATAGCTGGATTTATTGGTGAAATTTTATTACGCTATCCAATTATGTTGAATGTAATTAAAATTCTGATGGAAAGAAAGAAAAGGAAATGGGTTTACGAGACTCCTCCATCGTATCGTTACTCGAAAGCGCGAACGTATTAAAGAGATCTGTTTCTGAAATAATGCCAATAGCCTGGATACATGTGCTGATAGGTTGAGAGGCTGCGCCGGCGCGGCGGAGCCATCGGTCGAGTTTCGAGGGGCGAGATGATCGGTTGCGAGTAATTTTCAAGACCGTGTTCGACATTACGCTTCATTTTAACGAACATCCTACATATATCGTGGAAATAGGTGGACGAATCTCGTTAATTTTTTCGGCACGCACGCGTTTACGCGAGTAGCTGTTCGCGCCGTAGCGCGATTACGGCTCGTGCTTCCTTAAATTTTTGTTTCTCGTTCCACGTCCTGTCGCGGCGCGGCGCGGTGCGGCGCGGCAGCCCGATGGACTGGTTTCGTCTTAATCTTCTTCGAGGAATCTCCGCAGCGCGGGAAGAGAAAGATCGTTAACGCGATGCCAGGGGAATGCCGCGACCAAACGATATTTCGTACGGCCGATTACGCGCTATGAGTCGCACGTTACGAGCTACCTAATTGTCGCGTCGTTAGTTGCGTGCGCGTGTTGCTCGATCGATCCTCCGAATTAATTATGTACTATGAAAAACTGATGAATTTCTTTTAGTCTTCGAATGTAATTCTGACCGAATTTATTTACTTATAAAGCTGAGAAATCTCGAGCGTAACCAATCGGGTTACGCAACTTTTTCCCCTTGCGATCCTCGATTACCGGTGGTGAGTTTCCGGTAAAGCGGAATTACAAACAAATAATGTCGAGTGCGACGATCAACTACATTGTTTAAGACAGGTTCAACATCCAGTTGGACGAGGGGCGCTTAAAAAGGCACAGGCTTCCGTGCTTGGGTTTGCAAAGTTTAACGGAGGTATAATGCGTGCTGTTAGTACACGCACGCACGCACGCACGCACGCACGCACGCACGCACGCATCGGTCGGTCAACAACTAAAACTCGCGCGAGCGTGCGACAAGGTAAGAGAGAAAAAGAAAGAGGTAGAGGAAGAAGCAGAGTGAGGGAGCAAAAGAACGAGAAGGACGTTGAAAGTGAAACGAAGGCGTACGATCGTGAAAGGGGGGAGGGGAGGGAGAAGAAGGCCGGAAGTGGGAGCAATTAACGATATAAGTGGTTCGCTGGTCTCGGAACAAGATAACATCGGCTAACTTGAGTCTAGCTCCTTTTCTTCCGACCATTCGATGGGAAGATAGTAAGCTCGAAAGAGGCAGGTGCCTTTTGGACACATTATACGCTCTTACTCGCCTCGATTCTCATTTTTTCTTTTTTCCTTCCTTGTAGTCGCACCTTTCGCTTCCCCATTCTTTCGTTCGTCTCGTTTCTTTCGCTTCGTTACGAGCAAAACGATTTTCGGCCTCGCGATCAACGACGTCGAATACAGAATACAGAATAACTTTGTTTCTTGGTACCGATAATAACGGGCAGACGACACGACCGGTTATTTAATATTAATTAGGCGCCGCGGCGAAACAACAGTTCGGTTCTTGGTAAACTCCAGTAGCTACGCAACTATGTAATCGGTCAATGGCACGATAATTGTTGATCTTGTTGTTTACCCAACGATATCGTCGTCGTTCACGGATAAAAATTATACCGAGCGTATATGTACTTATAACTGGGATCGTTTTGAGGAATGGATTCAACATTGGAAGATAGAAAAGAAGGGTCAAAGTTGACTCGCTTGGTGCGACGATGGCTTCGATGATCGTAAGTGGGTACATATGTATAATCAAAAGGTTTAAGTAAATATGTATATTTGACTAATTCGGTTGCGCTGAAGAGCGCGTCGGGTAAGGGAAATTTTCAGCAGGAACGATAAAACAGGATGCGGGGGCAGTATACACGCGTACTTTTGTTCCGGTGGATTCTCCTTTGTCGCCAGTTTCAGGATGCAGAAGCCCGGTAAAAGCACGATTTGACCGTGGGTTAACCACATCCTCCCGGCCCAGTCGCTTCTTCGGTTTCCATCGGGCGTGCACCTTCGGGAAACGAACCTTTCGCGTGGAACCTGAACGCGAAAAAATGAAACTGTGATTTCCTACCGCTTTCAGCTAATAAGCGCATCCGTTCCACGGCCACGAACTGCAATTATGCAAAGCGCGCGGTGGCTCCTTGAACATTTTACGAGCTGTACGTTAAAGAACGCGATATTATTTAACGTGTTGCATTCAGTTCTGTCCCACGGCAACGATGCTCGTCCGCGCGCCGGCAAAACTTCCGTAGAAAGTAAGGAAAGGAAAATTAACGTACGCTTTTTATCGATCGCAAGACTCGAAATAGAACTAAAATTCTCCAAAACAATCCATCAATTCGATTAAAAAATGTATAGGTGTAGTAATTGAAAATTATTCCTCGCGACGGTGTTCCTTTATTTGTTATTTCAAAATAAACTTTCAACGTTCCCTGTTCGAAGGTTCGTTTTTAATGTATGTATGTGTCTACTATACGTCGTGAAATGTCTACTGTTCGTAAGTACACGTGTAACGTAACGAACGATGAAAAGCTTGACGGAGGAACGATCGAGAACGGGTCGCAATCGCGATTCGCGTTCACGTAACCCGATACTATAGTTTTCGTTTGTAAATATGGTGTATATGTTGGAAAAGTAAAATAACGAAGGGAGAGATGAGATCGGTGGGAAAAATCGTTAACACGGTGGTGCCAGTGGTCGACCGCTAATGGGGACCGAAATTAATTTCACGTAATTGGGGATACACGCCGGGAATGCGCCGCGTTGTCCTGGCTACCCGTTTTACCCTAATAGGAATAAAATAAGCCCTTGCGCAGCAGTTAGCGCTCACGCTGGCTCCTACATAATTGCAGACCGTTGGCTGACCAACGCCGGAAATAAGCAAACGCGATTAAGCCCTGAGCACGCCTGTCACGCTTCTCGGGTTTTACCTTCGACGACGCGAACGAGGCCTTTTCAAATTATGTACACCGGTGCGCCGAAATTCAACGGATAATACAGTCCAGACACTCACTCTGCTGTCGTTTCGTAATATGTAATCGTAGAAAAATGTTGGGTTATCCGCTGCTATAGGAATATATCGGTCGAGAGAAATAAATTTACTCCGACACTTTTTCGTCCGAGAGTACAGTCTGGCAATTTCACGTGAGTACGTTATTTACGTTTGCCGGTGATTTTTCGATCGCGTCTATCGTACCAACGAACGGCTAACAAACCTATTGAAAAAAATAAGAGAAAAGAAGAAGGCCACTAAATTTAGTATAATATATTTTCCATATAATAATTCTCGCTATACAGACATTATTTTACAAAGCATGATTTATACTATGTATGTACTTGTTGTTGCATTACCTGACGTACGATACCGTGGGACGCTCGCGCGTCCCAACAGATTTACGTAAACGCGCGCCTCGCTCGTCCGAGCGACTCCTCCCTCTCCTCTTTCCCCTCTTTAATCGCTCCGCAACATTTGTATTTTCCATCGTACAGTCTAATATTTATATATTCATAATACTGGTATTTCTTCGCCGAACGCGCAGCGTCGTGTCCGCACCGTCGAACGAATAACGCGAACGAAAAACAAAGGATATTTCGAAACATCGAGACGATCGAGTCGTTTAAACACGCTCTCCGCGTTCCTCTACGTATATGTATTGGGATCTGGCAAATACTTGAAAATTTCTCCCGTCATCGCGGTTGGCATCGGCTTACGTTTCAGAAACGTTCCGTGTCGTGGCGGCTTCTAACTGCGCGTACGGTTTACGCGCGCGGCTATTTACAAATTTCTCGTTTAAACGCGAATTCGTCGCCGTCTCGTCGCGTCGCGTCGCGTCGCGTCGCGTCGTAGCAAATCGAGCGTATGTATCGAGCCGGAATCGTATATACAACCGGTGTATTTAAATTGTAATTCGTAAAATTGTCGCGTCGATGTTAATTAGCCAATTAGTTTTTTCGTCGTCGAGGTAGCGTACGGCGGCGAGCAAAGTGCCGGTTTCGCCGCGGAACACGAGAACCGCTCGATTATTTGAATACTTTGAGAGACCACGTCCCACCGACCTCCCTCCCTCCTCTTCCGGGACTCGAGAGTCTCCCCTCCTTTCGCTTCTTTTCCAATCTTTTTTCCCCCGTCCGATTGCGTGTAATTTCGTGTCATTTCAGATTTCTTCCCCCGCAGCCAGGTCCCCTCTAATGTCATATTAATTGTAGATTCGCGTTCGTGCGCGATTGGCTCGCTTCCTGGCGCGACTATAACCGTCCTCGATGGTGGGTCTAGCCGGCTCTGTAACCTGTACTTTATCTGCCCCCTTCGTGGACGAGCGAACACTTTTTATTTACACCGTGAAATATAATACTTTAGCCAGTTACTGCTACATTTCGTTCGGCGAATTTTTATTACCGATAGGAAGTCGCTCGTTTTTACGTTTGTGCAGGCACACGATTGGCAGTCGATATCAAATCACGACACATCTGCTCGAGTTCTCTTTTTAGTTATGTAGTTTTTGGTTATGGACGACTCTGCGATAGCGATAGAAACGTCTATTAATCGTGCATAGGATCGATCAAATTCGTTTATTTTTCTTTTACCGATTTATCGAACGATCGCATCGACTAGGCATATTGTTTCGTCGCTTGGTTAAAAAAAAAACGTGCGAATCGTGAATTTTTTTTATTAATCGTACGACGCTTGTTCCGCGCAGCACTCTCGTCTCACACTTTTTGCGTTTAAACTTACAACAAGTTGGGATAATCGAGCAAGCGTTTAGCTCGTGTGGAATTCGAGCGGCGCGGCGCGGCGCGGCGCGGCACAGCGTTGCAGTTGAATCGACCAGAAATGTGTCTGCATACGTCCTCGAGTAAGTGCAGAGTAGCGGGAAACAGGGTAATTGCTCGAGGAAGCATCTGCTGGCTGAAATTACGAGATAACATTATGGTTCGCAAATCGCTAGTTTCGTTCGTTAAACTAGTTAATTCCTGTTCGCATCTCGGTGCCAATAGACATTCGATTATCCGTTTCGTAGCTGCATTATTACGAAATACTCCGCCAAGGTGTTGTTGAACGTTTCGTTGCTCCAAAGTTTCTGCTTGTTGCAGAATTAGTTGGAACGGTCGTTCGAAGAAATCGATCGATCCTCGACGATGTCGATGCTGTTGCGTCTCGCAGATCCCCACCCTCGGTGTATCGAAATTTCCCCGATCTGTTCTGCCCTAGATGTCGTGTATACTCTCCTCGTCGCTGTCCGCCCTTATGCTTTGAGGGCTGTCCTCCCCCCTCCGCATGGGCGATCTGTCGCAACTGTTGCTCCTGTCCCTTTGTCTGGTTGCTCTGCTTAAATTTTCCCTCTCCCTTCCCTCGATCGTATCGGGGCTGTCTCTATAAAAGTTGGCCAAATTGGAAGTTAGCGAGCCGACGGTGTTGCTCGGTCCCGCCTGGATCATCGTCGATGGATAGAGTCTGTCGTCTTTGCGCATAGGCGATCTCTCCCTAAACACGGGACTCTTGCTCCTGTCCCTCTGTCTCGGTGGTCTATTCGCGTTCTCTCTTTCCCGTCCATCCGTCACTTCCGGACTCTCTCTGTAATAGGTGGTCAAATTCGACAAGCTGGGACTGACGGTGAGCGTTCCGAGGTTATTACTCGAACCTGGTTGGACCATCGCCGGCGCGTACAGTCTCTCCTCCTTTCGTAACGGCGACCTGTCTCCCGGCGCGGGACTTTTGCTTCTGTCCCTTTGCCTGCTCGATCTCTCCATACTTTCTCTGTCCCTGCCGTCGGCTATCTGTAGACTATCTCTGTAGTAGTTGCTAAGATTCGACAAGCTGGAACTCGCCGTGAGGGATCCTAGGGGATTGCTGGGTCCTGCAAGAATCATCGTCGGTGGGTATAGTCTGTAAGGAAGCGGCTTCTGCAAGGTCACGGCCGCCGAGGCTTGCTGGTAAAAGAGTCCATTGGTTGGTAAGACGTGCGCACTGGGATACGGCCAATATCGTCCTGCCGCGGCGTGCGCAGGAACCGCTGCCGCCGCCGCCGCCGCCGCGCTGCTTCCGTATAGCTGTTGGAATGCCGCCACCGCGAAATTGTTCTCCGCCATTATCTCTAAGTTCACCACGGTCTGTCTCTTCCACTTTGTTCTGCAAATAGAGTAGAAGGAGACTCGTTAGTCGCGCGATTATTCCTTACGAGACTAAAATGTGATACGGACAGAATTATACATATATTGGAAGCTACACATTTAACGCCTTTTTTTACTTTTTATCAACCATCCCACACTAACCGATTAAATCTTTAATATAACAAGTTACCGTTCGAATCGTACATATATTCAAGATACTTTTGGGCCAACTAAAACACACTCGTAATTTTCCACTCTTTCCTTTAATGCTCCCTTTCGGACGGCTCTCTTTCTCTCCCACTCGCTGATCGTCATAGACCCCACCCCAATCTCTGTTCGCGTATGTAAATCTCGATCTGGGACAATTACGCTAAAACGGGCTGGCGTGCCGGCAAGTGGTTACGTCGGCCACACTGTTGGGGGGCTTATTATACTAACAAATAGCCCGTAGAGTTTCACTGCCTAATCATCGCGTATCATGCCACGCGCGCGAGTTCCTGCGCCGCACCTGCGAACTCGAAGGCACCCTTAGACGCGCTACCGATACATACATATATCGTTTGGGGCTTTGATATCGACCAATGTCAGAGACCACCAAGTCACCAAGGAAGGTGTAAATTCATCGAGGGTGAAAAAACAATCAACGATCACACAACGAATCATTTCTGTGTGTGTGTGTGCGCGCGCGCACGTCCGTCGATCGTAAATCAATGCGAGACCTCGAAGAGGATCAAGATCGTATGGAAAATTTAAGGAATAGATTCGTTTGATCGCGTTTACCAATAAGGAAACGTATTCTACGATCAGTGGAGAAAATGCCAAGGTATGAAAATTTTGGAATCTACAAGTGCGCGCGATTCTTTTTTTATGGAAATAGAAGCTGAACGGAAAGAAAATGAAACGTGTGTGAAAAACTTGTACCAAGATAACGATGCGTATTCCAATTGGATCAATTACGGAACACGTTTTGCATCGTGTGTAATTATTAAAGAGCGGAGAGGATAATTACATACAGTGTTGTGTGTCCGAGGCGACACGCGTTGATTTAGCTTTCTCCGCTCGAGTTACAGTGCATCGCGAGTTTCTTATCATCGTAAACGCCTCCACGGGTAATAAATTGGCCCAAAACACATTGCAGATCCATTTGAAAAGAAACAATTTAATCGATAAAATAATAATATCTTATAATAGTTTACTAGTAATTAGAAAAATTCCATTAAAACAATAAAATTATTACTAACCGAGCCTGTCGTCGAACATCGCGATTACTCTCGACGATAAATCAACTCGTCGTTCCGTTGCCCTCTCGATTAAAAAGTTCACTATTCGACTCGTCGCGGAACTCGAGGCGGTAATTAACGAGCACCGCCAACTACGGGGACATTCGTTACGTTTTTCCATAAAAACCGGCAGTGCGAGATAAAAATTAAAAAGAAAAAAAGGAAACGACTAGCTGTTATACCTGTTCGAAACGAGGCCGTGAATTTTACGGGATGTTGGTGGAGGGACGAGGAACGGGGTGAAAAGAGGGATGTAAAGTTCGTTGTCAGGGTAATTAATAATCAGGAGATCCGCGGCTGGCAACGGACAAAGCGACTCTAACGGATATGCAGCTCGCACGGAAAATTCGACAATTAATATATTTCGTGGGGTGAATATCCCCTTTCCCTCCCCCTCCCCCTACCCCTACCCCTACCCCATCTCCTGTCGTGTGTACTACCCCTATCGAGCTTGATTCTCTTTCTCTACTAGCAGTGTGTATGATCGAATATGTGGGCCATTCTATCTATACATGTATGTATGTATATCTCACTCGCTCTATTTATCTCGACATGCCCCTGATCTCGGGCTTTTGTGATCGTCGACGATAGAGAGGGGAGACAACAGTAAAATCGTTCATGAATTTTAAACAGGGGCCTGTGAATCGAGCTACGATCATTTGTCATTTTTCCACTGCCACGGCGAAGAAAACGAGACGAGCAGTGCACGGTTGCAAGAGAGCGACGAGAGATGGATGGATCGTGTACCGAGAAGAGAAACAACGGTTTGGAAACGAGAAAGAGACGGGACGAAGGAAGAGGAAACCACTCGTACGATTATATGATGAGTAATGTTTTATAATACCCACACCGTTGGCTAGGGGTGGCCGGTCATTTTCGAGTGCAGCCACTCTAAAACACCCTTAATTGCCGTGCCAGCTCTTTGTATCGGCATTGAATAATCCTAAGAGGAAGAGAGAGAGAGAGAGAGAGAGAGAGGGCAGGATCGAGGGTCGGAAGTGGGTACGAAAAGAGCAAGAATCATTGATTTATCGTTCTCGAGAGGTTCCCGGGGGTTACCTCGAGATCTTGCCCGAATACAACAACGAAGGGTAGAAACGGGGATACGTTTGGAGGGGGAAGGAGTGTTAAGAAAGTGTAACGATCCCCCTTCTATCGAGTTTAACGATCGTCAACTTTCCAAGACACGGGAAAAGGGTTATTCAACCGATGGATGACTCTGGGTTTGATCGCGTATCGAAAAAGTCACCAGGACGTTATATTCTTTCTTACATGTAAAGCGAAAATATTAAGTAATACATCTTACTAAAATAAAGTATATATGAGTTTATAAAAGTAACGTTCACGAATGGATTTAGGTAAATTGAACATTTACGTTGTTCTTTGAACGTATCTATGCGCGATCGATTTATTTATTTCACTTTTCTAGTCAGGGAACGAAACGTTCATTTTCTGATAACTTTCGGTCAAGTATGATCAGCATCTATGTAGGTATACATACGTGTACATACATATACATATGTATTTAAAGACGCAAATTAAGGAAAGAATTTATTTAAATTAACGGTAGATAAAAAGTTACGCGACCGATGCGTGGTCGAAAGGTGGAGAACAGGACCGAGGGAGAGAGTTAATGCATTTATAATAGTGGTTGGGGCTGGTCGGTGGTTTTGCGGTTACAAGCCTGCGCGACACTAATGCATCCAAGCTGCCGGCTCGGTTTGCGATAATAATGGCGACGAACAGAGAATGGATCGGAGAATAGGGCGACATATTTTTAAATTATTAGTTGCTTGGCTGACTACTACGGAACACATGTTCCTCGGAATACACGTATACTGTACGCGTATCCGCGTGCGTGTGTGAATACTACCTGTACCTATTCCTGTCTGTATGAATTCTGTTCACCGTGTGTTGTACGTCGTAGGATTAATATTAGAAACGGGTCGAATCCTTCGAAATACAGCTGTACTATAAACAGACCGATGTAACGAAGGAAGAAGAAAAATAGAAAAAAGGGTTTAGCCAGATACTATCGATTGTTCGTACTCGTATGGAGCGTTTACGTAATAATTTTAATTTATTTAAAACGATGGATAATTTTTCATTAAAAATACAAAGGGTTAAATAGCAATGTTTGTTGCACGAGGTGGGGTTTCTCGAACGATACTACCATGTTGTTTAACATTACTGTACGGTAAAGTGAAGCGGAATATTGTTGGGCACGGATAGACCAACAAATGCGCATGCAAATACATCGTTAATCCGCCCTCTCCCTCCGTTATCGCCGGCCAGTCGATTAGCCTCGTTTTTCTAGCTTATTCGCGAAATTCCTCGACCGCGTGTACTTGAAATCATACACGAAATCGCACCGTCCGAGCTACAGAGGTTTCGTGACACAAATTTTTCCTCGATCATGCCGAGGGGAACGCTGCGACGCGCCAAAGAAAAAGACTGTGCTCGAAAGGAGCGCGTTTGACTAGCCGAGAAATCAAGACTATCCGTTATAAAGCGGTTTTAATGGAGGCGTGGGAAGCTCACGTGTTCTTCCGGCTGGCGTCGAGAAGCCTCGAGGAACAACGGAGCTGGGATTCTCACGATTGCGATGTATCACGACGTGTTAGTGATGTCGCCACGGCGTGTTACGGCGCCTGACTGCTACATCAGAAAAAGGAGAAAAAAACACCACTGTTTCTTTTCTGCATTTCTCTCCGTGTTTCTTTACTCGGCACCGCGGCAACATTTGCACCTAATTTACTGTTTCAATGGAAATGTTTTTACCGCGTGCGTCTCTAATTAACAAATCGCCTCGCAGGCGTTTGCTCGCGTTTACGATTCCACGAAACAGACTTCGATTCAGCGCGTCGCGTAATTGCTATATTTACGACTACTTTCTCTTCGAGTGCGACCCGTGTGCGCTCGAAATATGTATTGTTCGCCAATTATTGTACTTTCATAATTAACGGTACAGATATTACAACGACGTGGCAGAAATATCGAGAACAAAGCGAAAAATACCATAAATTGAAAAATAATCGCTTCGATTTCCAACCAATTTCATCGATCTCTTCTTATAAATTAACTCGTTAAAACCACCCCGTGACTGCTACGATATTTTACCTACCCGTTCGTTCCTCGTAACGTATCGTAGTTGGGAATCGTGTAACGTTCCGTGGAATCCCGACGAGCCATTGGACGAAATATAAATTCTACTGTCGCTGGTTCGACGATAACCAGACCTAACCCTCCTAGCATTTGAAAAGTACGCGAAAACTGGACCTCCCCAGTTTCTTCTATCGCGGGTGGAATTTCTTGTATTTTACAATATTAGATACGCATGCCTGGTGGAGCTGCGCAAGGAAACAATATTGGTCCGTTGACTTTAATTTGCTAGAACAAAGGGTCGAGGTCGCGATTCCAACTAATTGCAGAACTATGGCTTCCGCGGGTAGACGGTGGCGATAAATCCAGCACGGAAGCATAAATCCACGGTGCCCGAAGGGGGATAAGCCTCGATGCGCATTGCGAATTACATAAACGAGCAGCGCGGCTCACGCGTCTCGCGCGGCTCGCGCGTCTCGCGCGGCGTTTCATTAGAATACAACTTTTCGAACGAGACGTTCAAGATCGAAAGCGGGAACCGTAAGCGTGCGTGCATATCTAGAATACAGTGTTCGTTGCGAATCCCTCCGACTCACGACCGTGTACTTACGTAATTAGCCGATAAGTAGGGACGAAGACTCGCGTCGCGCTAGTAACTCAACCAGTTCTAATGACTTCTAAACGGCCCTCGCTCGGGGCATCCACCGATTTCGCGGAAAATACGAAAAACGCAACGTCTTAAAGACCGTTTCGAGAACGGTCCGCATACTGGTCGAACCAAGCATTCGTAACGGCCACTCTGCTATCTGTTTGTTTCGTCGATCTTGCTCGGTGGACTTTCGTTGTGTTTCGCAGCTTGTTGCGCGTCAACATCACGGTGTTTCGCATAGCACGGTCGATAGAGAGAAATTTTTAGAAAATCTTGTCGATTTGCTCGATACCCGCGATAAAGTTGCAAACTCGACGTTTAATAGCCGCGAAACACAACGAACCGCCAACGATACGACACGATTCGGATTCGGATTCGATATGATTCGCGTCGAGAAGATCATCGAGGTCCATAATATGTGGCGGTGGCCTCGCCGCGAAGAAAGGACACGAAATCCGTCGTCGTGGCGCCCAAGGTGTGGTCGGCGCCTCCGCGAAAAGGCGCCGAGTCACCGCGGCAACGCGTACGAAGCAACAAAACTTTAAACGGGCACTTAAGAAGTCAGCCGACAGAAGCGTCACTAATTTTCCCATGTTTTTGCAGCCTCTTAGCAGCCTTTCGTTCTTTCATCAAAACCGACGATAATCATGGCACGCGCACCTCTTTGCCGTTGTCCCTCCGTTCCTCTCTAATTAATACATTTCTCAGAGCAAAAATATTATCGGCCCTTTGTAAAACATGAAATACCTATCCAGTGTTCAACTACTGTTATTGATACTAGAACCGGGAGAAGTAACGTTTTTTTCGTAAAAATAAGTTAATCTTAACTACTTAAAAATTCCTCTAACATTGCGCTACGTAACGTGCATGATAATTTTGAAATATTGGTAACGCGGAGGCGAGAAAGTTGTCGGATTAACGCGGAAAACGTAACGAATTGGTTAGCCAAAACGTAAAATAGCAGTCACGTAATTAGATTTTTTTAAATGGAACGACCGCCGAAACGCAGGTAGTTCAGACTACGAATTCAGATTGCGACCGCTGACAGCGTCGACGTCTGTCATTAAGCCGTTGGCTTGCCTCGTAATTGACAGTCTAATGGCACGGTCTTAGAGTCCATGGTCTGCCCTCTCCGTCTCGCTCCATTTCGTTCGCCGCCATACGTGGCGCATCACGAGCCCGTGAGATCCTCGTTAACGATTCGCTTTCTTTGAATCCGAACGACCGCTTGTTCGAGTTAAACTATTTAGACGGCCAAGAAGTCGTGGAGTCACGAATCGTGGTTCTTCCTGCGCTAATCACCCTTCAAAGACTGCCGCGGTGGCGGTGGTGGTGGTGGTGGTGGTGGTGGTGGTGGTGGTGGTGGTGGTGGTGGTGGTGGCGGCGGCTGCGGCAGCGGCGGCGACTCAGAGAATACAATCTCGATACGGAAAATTATTTCATTAGAAAGAAATCGCACTTTGACCAGCGACCGCTTTCGCTCTTGACCATTCGCGTAAGTATAATACTTTCTCCTAGACGCGCAGAACCTGGACCCGCTGCTATGCTTGCTTCCCAACTCTTTAAATATTCTTTTGAACTTTATATTTTCCGTGAGCGTAGAATCCAGTCTTTGAGTACGGGCGAACAACGATACGAGCTTGATAAATTTGTCGTCCAAAGGATATTTCAATGCGTACGGATTAACATGCAAGCAGTTTCCGATTTAATGTAATTCAATCAAGTTTTGATTAGAAATTCTAATTATACCGTTCAAGATGCCGTTGGACGGTATACGGGAGTCGTTAACGCGTTCGAAGCACCTTGGACAAAATAGTTCTCACGAGAAGTAACATTCTTGGAAGCTTCTCGCTTTGCACGATCGAGCGTGGCAAACTGATTTCGAAAGATAACGCAAAGTCAGCGATTCGAATTTTCCACGGTGGAACCAAAACACTGGATCCTCGTGACTAACGAGCACGGTCGTCGAGGGAAAATTCGAGGATCGAGAGGTATCGACAGGCGCCACCAAATGACTCGGTGAAAAGCTCTGAGGGTAGAAAGAACTCCTCCGAGGATTCGAAAATGGATTTTATGCCGCCTTCTCTTGCAGAGCTGATACAATTCACAATGCGTCGCACCGAGGTCACTTGAAGTAACCAAGTACTAAAACCCTATCTAAATAAGTTAAATCGAGGAAGTCCGCGTCGCGTCGTCGCGTCGTCGCGTCGTCGCGTCGTATCGCACGCGGACAATCCGATTTCGTTCGCACGAGAAGCGACAAGTTCGATTTTCGTGAAATAATCGAACGTGGTCGGTGTTTGTATAAAAAAACAAAGGCTCTCCAAGAGGTCTTGAGTTTTTTTAAGGATCGTTCACGCTACCGCGATTATCTTTGGCCGCGCGAAGCCGAGCAAAAGGGGCGCATGACTCTTGAGATGTTTGAACGAAAATCGTAGGGACCGGTGATCCTTGCGTTTAACCACGTAAACAGCGCCTTTGTTGGCCGCCGCGATTTCCATTTACGGATTTTATACGCCTGGTCACGAAAGAAGGTTTGCGACGCGCCGAGACGCGTCGGTACGCCTCTCGTTCGGTAGCACCGCGACGACGAGCATCTTGGATCGACAGGCACAAAGTAACGAAAATGTCGACCCGCCGATCGATCAGCTTCTTCGCCGACTTCTTATCTCGTCTTTCACCCATTTACAAAGTCAATTTACCGTTCTCTATTCAACCTTTTTTTCATCTAGTGCACGTCTGAGCCGGGCGTGCGTCGTATAATCGTGATTCGCACGTTTCTTTGTGCACCGCGACAACCTTCTCCAAGGGATCTCGAAAACGAACGCTTACTAAATGACCAGAACAATGTCTACTTCTTCTACCAATTTCTTCCTTTTTCTGAACTTGAACCCCTCTCCTAACCGCGGCAACGTATACCAATACGGAATATTAATGGAATCACGTACTCTAACGAGACTACATGTACGTACATAATAAGATTGGGACAATGTATTGAATTTAGAAGAGTCGCGCGATCAAGTAAACGTTCGGGATCCAGTCACGAAGCAGCCAAAATTAACTACATATTTCTAACCGATTATTCTAGTCGTAGACGACGCGTATCATGGATGTCGCGTATTTTGATCCTACCTTCTGTTCTGGTACCATGTCTTAACCTGAGTGTCGGTCAGTTGTAGCTTCGCTGCCAGCTCCATCCTGTCTTGCACGCTTAGATACTTCTGTCGCTCGAAACTCTTCTCGAGAGTTTGGAGCTGATGATCCGTGAAAGCTGTGCGCGCCTTTCGTTGTTTCTTACTCTGCGCCGAGCTTAGCGCGTTGGACGAGGAACTTTTCGGGTCGTCCTCTTTGCCCCCTGAAAATCCGTTAACACACTCGCTTAAATCTCGCTGAAAATTAAATGGTTTGTTGCTTAATTACTACGCTGGAAATATTTGGGGAAATCGTGGCTATTTGCTTTTCTGATTCTAGCCGTTTAATGGTCACGGCACCATCCATTCGCGACTACGGTGCGACGTAAAAAAAGTAAATCGGCCGAGTCGTATAGGTGAAGAAATTACATTCGGATACGCGATTCGTGGATGGGATTAAATTCGCAGAACTCGTAGGATTTATTAGCGGACGGGTTGTAGATCGGTCGGAGGTCAATAAATGCTTCGGCGATGGTAAACACAGAGATTGTCCGGCGACGGGAAGCTTCGGGGACGTAGTTGGTCGGAGAGGAGGCTTTATTGCACCCTGCAGGGGAAGTAATCGATTCCGCGCGGTACACTCGGGTTTTTGCTGGTCGCCGCGTGGCAATCGCTGCCGCCTCTCCATCGGCAGAGATCCTTTTGTTCTCTGTCGGGGTCCGCGCAGCCGAGAGCCGATTGGCTGCTATCCGCGGATTCGACCACGCAGCCGCGACGAGACGCCGCGAATTATCTCCCCGGCTCGCCGCCACCTACCAAGAGGGTGGGATTCACTGAGAAACCCGATCGACGCATCGGCACCTTGCGCTTCTTCCCAATTGGTACGCACACACGCATTCGCCCCGGCATTAAATTCGATTCACGCGCGCAAATCACTCTGAAGAGCCCTTGTTCGTCCCTCTGGAAACTCGTTAACGTTGTTCGTTTCTATCTTTGCTGGTTGTCAAAGGTGGCTCGTAGAAACGCAATTTGGCTCTGGATCAGAGTTACGTAACACAGGCTCGCGCTTCTAGCAATTTCGAAATATTTATTTTTTTTTCTCGTTAAAATTACCTCTCTTGTCGTTGTACGACAACAGATGGCTCGAGTGAAAATTTCAAAGAGCCTAGGATGTATGGGGTAAACGATGCGGGAATTCGACTGGAGAAAGTACTTATGTACCTAAGTACATAGGTATCGGTTGGTGAAAAATTCCAAGATCGTTCGACAGGGCCGTACCGACCAAGTATGTATGTAGTTCGTCGAGGGACCGATCAGGCGAACAACTCTCTCGGGACGATGCTCTGCGAGCTTCTAAAAGTATCTAAAGAGCTGTTGTCGCGAGCTCATCGATTGGAACGGTCGTGGATGGCGCGCGGAGGCAAGAGCAAGGTGGCTGGGGAGCAAGATGTAGAAAGACGAGGGAGCGAGAAAGAGGAGTAACGACTGGGGGGGTGGGAATGCACAGAGAGATAGGAGCGGTAGAGAGGGAAAAGCAGGATAGCAGAGAGCCAGTGGATTGAGTTAACTCGAACGAAAGCGCGGCTCTTAGCCTCCGTTTGATCGGCCAGATTCGCTCGAACGGATCCAGGACTCGTCCGCCATGTTGGCAAAGATGGCCGACAATCCCTCAGGAAAGGCACGAGGGGGAATTCCATCGTAGACACCGGCGGCCTCACTCGAGGTCGAGTCACCAATGGGAGAGGGAGGACGAGGGAGTGGGAGTGGAAGAGGGGGCGCGATGGGAACGGAGGTTGGAAAACTAAATTTACTATGTGATACACTTAGAGCTCCGGGTCTCAACCGAAGCAACTTCTCTTTTTTAGACACTTCCAAGACGTTGGACTGAAACTTTTTCACCTCCTCCCTGGCATCTCCACCCGCAGAGAGTTTCAAGTAACTGGAGAACCATCGCGAAACAGAGTCGTCTGCTCTCGTCTTCTTCGTTTTCTTCCTCTTCTTTCCGCGGAAAAGTACCTTTTCTACGTTTCTTCCACCGCTTACTCCCACAGCACGTACCTTCTTCCAAGGTTTATTCGTCTGCTCGCATGTCTTTACGAGTCTATTCCTCGCTTTGTACGTTTCACTTTGCCTCCATGGGTAATGGGACCCGATGCTCTCAAGGCTAGTGGAACAGCTATGTGTGTGTGTGTGTGTGTGTGTGTGTGTGTGCAGGAAAACGTTTTAACTTTGATTAGAATATTTCGCCTCTTTCGAATCGATCATTAGTTTTATTCGATTAGAAACGTTTTCTCTGGTCAAGCATAGTACATACCTAGCTCTGGGAGAATTTCAACTTGTACGCTTATTTAGGTTTCTTCTCATTTCATCCGATAGTAGCTGTAGTATTTTCTTTCTTTCGAGTTTACTACCAGTTTACTCTATACGATGCCTCGAGTTTTATCCACTGTTTCTTCGAATCGTCCAGACTTTTGAACAAACATCGTATATCTTAGCATTGCCTATGCAACATATGCAATGCTTGGGTGAAATTTATCGTACTTGCGAAATAAGTTTCTCGAGAAAATGTACGAATGATTCGTAACACTCGAGGCTCAAAATGAAAACACGACGAAACGTACGTATGTAAGAGAAGGACATACATTCGCACAATTTTCTCACGCTGCTAAGTTGAACCGTAACGTGTAAGTGCTTTGTTTTCTAAATACATACTTGTTCTTCAGAATTTGAACGAATTCGTCCAACGTTTGGTGATTACGCGACATCTTTGTTATTTTAATTACTGTCGTACGAGCAATCGTTACAATAAACATCAGAAATAGGATGCCACACCGGATGCACGACGTGTATTAGCCAATGAAAATTCTCGTGTTTCGAGTACGACGAATAGGGAGAGAGAGGGGGGTGGGGGGAGAGAGAGAGAGAGAGAGAGAGAGAGAGAGAGAGAGAGAGAGAGAGAGAGAGAGAAACGAGGGCCTCGCGTGCTGCAGGCACCGACGCGGTACAATGTGTATGGAACATAAAAGTGAGATTAACAGGATGTTTATCGAGCAATTATTCGCTGCCGCAATTAGTGCCAGCATGGTCGTCCACGTCACCGACAGGTATCATCGTCTTCAGTTGGGTTCACGCAAATCGTTACCTGTTGTACATACAACGAAACGCGACACCTGCATGATGTTGAAACGATTATGACGCAGTAACTATAATTCGTAACACCGATTACTTTGTGACTGAGAAAAACGAAAAATATTTCTAGCGTTTCTCTAAATCCGGTTGAGAACGTTTAAAACTGTCGAGACGCAGATTCGATAGACGATCTAAGCAAACTGTGCGTCTTCGAGCCTGAATAAATGGAACATAAGGTTACGCGTATACATATTTTTGGCTATTTATTTATCGATCGATCGAAACGAGTAGTTTACAGCGAGACAAAGTTTAAAATGGAAACCGAAAGTTGGCAATTGTTCTACCTCGTCCGTATCGACGCATTGGCGTACATGGCCACTCAGCCACGTAAGTAGGTACATACATACAAAGTTAGCTGTGGAAGTAACAGGTAGTACGTAGCGACCATAGGTGGTGGAGGTGCAACGCGTAATGGGGCTTCTTATTGGATCGGTTGGTTGCACGAATCTCGATACTTGCAGAATATGATAGCCACGTATTTACGGTACGGTAATGGAGGCTCTGCTCTAAATTAATTGGAAAAATGAAAGGTTCCGTCTCGAAACCGTTACTCGGCCTAATTATTGATTTCGGAATAGATAAACGTCGAACGGCGAGAAATTAATTAATAAACGGGAAGTCCGACTAGACGCATCGTGCCCGTTCCGATCGAAAGCGACGATCGCAGCCTCATGCGTCGCCCTTTTTATTGCAGATTGTTACGTGCGGTTTTACATTTACATTCCGTGAATGGTAACGGCATTGCGCCAGCTTTGCGGGTAAAATCGCACACCTGCGCGTACTAGTTTGCCGCGACACACTCGCGGCGAAATATAACCAACGAGCAAATAATAAAATCGGACAACAGGCGTACAACGGAGGTACCGGCACGGACTATCCACCCTATTCCTACCACCTTCCTCCGACCGCCCTTTTCTTTCGCCTTCATTTTTCTGCTCCTTTCCATCTATCTATCTCCGTTGCAACTCGTAAAATAACGCTAGCCAACTGAACGCCAACTTTTATTATCTAGAATTTAACGAGCTGTTCGGTTAACTCTACACTACACCGACTACTAGCGCAATTTCGTCCGGATACGATCGCATTTTCACCGAGTCTTGTTGTATTCTGTAGTTCTGTTGGTAGTAACAGAACCGGGCACAAGGTGGAACGTAATTTCCGATATGATACAAAATAAATACCGTTTGCTTCGATTTCTTTACCCAACTTGATCTTTGTTCGCCAATTGTACAAGATTGAATTTAATCGTGATCAAATTGAGCCTTGCATCGGAACATGTGTAGGTGGTTGTGCTCGTATGTACGATAGAAACAATTATTGCACGGGTAACGTTGATATTTAAGTACGCCCCGGTGAAATGGTTCCATAGGGTTGAATATTGAGACGAAGAAATCGTTTGGGAATATGTAATTTTGTTCGAACAGTGTTTAGATTTAGTGAACAGTTTGCGATAAATGTTACAATACGCGTATCGTTGTTAACAAAGACCTTGACCACGTAGTGGTTTTCGTAGGAAAAGAGCAGCAGCGACATCAGAGTGTACGTTGCGGAATTCAGCTTTTCCAATTCCAGTCACACTTCCTCGCTTGCCCCTGCCCCCCGTGGCGTACGCTATCCTTTCATAGTTTGCCGTGTACGCACCCTCCATGTATTGTGTGCAAGGGCGATGACGGGAGTAGAATCTGACCCCTCTTCTGTATTGTGTTACCGTGTCGCCACCTTTAGGGTGGAGAACACCGGGGATAATGTTATAGGGGTAACGCTTTATTGCCTGCCCACTCTATTTGCAGTCGACCCGGGGGAGACAAACTGCCAGCGAGAATTTCAAAAACAAACTACAGTGACGGTGGTGTCAAATTAGTGTCTGGTACACGTTCTGTACAGGGGCAGTTTCCGTTTCTTAACTTGAATCGTAGGTGTCGTTTATTTCAACGAATTTCAACAATTCTTAAAGGTTATACGTATCTATATACATATTGTTAATCCTTGTGAAAATGTAGATGATAAAATATCTCGGCGTTGATTGCGTTTTCGT